GGGCATTTGCCCCTCGTCCTCTTTCCTGCCATGGCAGGGGGTCGGACTTGATGATTGCTCAGGTCCCTTCCGACCCTACCAACTATGAAGGTCTGCTGTCTCCCTGGGGCCCACATCCAAGATGTTGCGGAGAGGATCCCCAGGCTTATCCGTCCCTCCGACTATTACCCCATGCTCCTCATCCATGTGGGCACGAACGACATGGCCAGGGGTAACCCTGAGTCATGAGTGACTGACTACAGGGCCCTGGGGGCTGGGCTCAAGGGACTAGGTGCTCAAGTACTTTTCTCTTCTGTGCTCCCTGTCACAGGCCACGGACCCAGAGGAAGGCTGTGTGGAACAGGCTTATCCGTCCCTCCGACTATTACCCCATGCTCCTCATCCATGTGGGCACGAACGACATGGCCAGGGGTAACCCTGAGTCATGAGTGACTGACTACAGGGCCCTGGGGGCTGGGCTCAAGGGACTAGGTGCTCAAGTACTTTTCTCTTCTGTGCTCCCTGTCACAGGCCACGGACCCAGAGGAAGGCTGTGTGGAAGAGGTTAACAGATGCCTCGGACGATAGTGTTACCGTGAGAGGTTCGGTTTCTTTGACCACAGCATGCACTTCAGAGAGAGGACTCCTAGGACTAGATGGAGTTTACCTCATGCAGAGGTAAGGCCCTGTTCTTAGCCAGGATGGCTACTGGACAGGGCTTTAAAACTGACTTTGCAGGGAGATGGGGAAACTTCAAGTGGAGCATGCCTGGGGATTGGCACACAGGAAAGCTCCCTTGTGGAGGACACTAACACAACTGTTTTTGAAAATGTTAACCAAACAGTTCTCCCGCATCATCTCAGGAAATCAAGGGTGTCAGTTGCCTGCACACCAATACCAGGAGCATGGGGAACAAAGAGGAGGAGCTATCCCTCCTGCTCTCTAGTGGGTAATATGACCTGGTGGGACTCCTTGCATGATTGGACTATAGCCATAGAGGGCTACACCTGCACAAGGGGGACAGAGTAGGGAGAAAAGGCAGAGGGGTAGCTCTGTACATGAGAGAGCAGTACGCCTCTCTGGAGGCTGACATTGGCTCCAAAAATAAGCAGTTTGAAACCCTCTGGGTCAAGCTACAGGTGGGGGAGCATGGTGAGAGGAACCTAACTGTATGCATTTACTACAGGTCACCAAACCAAGGGGAGGAGCTGGATCTGGACTTCTCTTGAGAATTCAGAGGCTGCCTGTGCAAGGGACTTGGTTATCATGGGTGAATTCAACTACCCAGACAGATTGGAAGGAACACTTGACTAGGTCAGATTATTTACAGTTTCCTGACTCTGATCAAGGAGCTCTTTCTGACCCAGGAAGTGCAAGCACCAACCAGAAGTAACACTCTCCTAAACTTGGTCTTGCCCAAGGGAGATAACCTGGTGTGTAGCTTGAACGTTGAGGGTAACTTGGGTGACAGAGACCATGAAATTATCAGGTTCACCATCTGCTGCAAGGTCAACAAATCAACCAGCAGGATTGAAGTCCTGGACTTCAAAAATGCTGACTTTGACAGGCTAAGAACATTAGTAGGGGAGGCAATGCGGGACCAGGAAGGGAAGACAAATAGGGTACACAAAGAATGGTCATTGCTCAAGGATACAATACTCGAAGCACAAAAGAAAACCATTCCTGCAAAAATGAAAGGTAGCAGAAAGGCCAGCAAGCCCTCCTGGCTTAATAGGGACATTGCAGTCCTCTTAAAAAAGAAAAAGAGGTATACAGACAATGGAAGCTAGGGACGGTCCTCAAGGAGGACTATACATTAGTGGCCAGCATTTGTAGATGGGACTGGGTTCCTCCAGTCATCAAATCAGTCATCCACACAAACACACAACAGTTAGAAGTCCTTCTTTAGGTATTTAGGCAGTAGAAGGAAAACAAATGGAAATGTGGGACCCCTGTTTAATACCTCAGGACAGCTGGTAACCAACATTCAGGACAAAACTGAACTCCTGAATGCCCACTTTGCTTTGGTATTTCACCAGAACAAGGGGAAAGTCAAGCAAGATAAGGCTCAAAGGGGGCATGCTGGGAATGGCAGCCTCCCCACTGTGGATGCTGAGCAGGTGCAATACCAACTAGAAAAGCTAGACATTTATAAGTCAGCGGGACAAGATGGACTTCATCCGAGCGTGCTGAAAGAGCTGGTTGAGGTCATTGTGGAACCCCTGGCAAAGCTTTCAGAATTTGTGGCACACAGGGGAAATCCCTGAGGATTGGAAGAGGGCCAACATTGTGCCCATCTTCGAGAAGGGGAAGAGGGAGGACCCAAGCAACTATATGCCAATCAGCCTAACCTCTATCCCAGGGAAAATTCTGGAAAAGCTTATTAAAGAATCTATGTGCAATACGCTTGCAGAAGGTAAGATTCTGAATGACAGTCAACATGGCTTTGTCGTGGGTAGGTCTCGTCTTACCAATCTCATCTTCTATGACCAGGTCTCTCGCCACCTGGACATGGGAGACGAGGTAAACGTTATAGACCTAGACTTCCAAAAGGCTTTCGATCTAGTATCCCACAATATCCTTGTGGGAAAACTGGAAGATGGTGGGCTCAGCTGTTCAGTGGGTGGGAAACTGGCTACAGGGTAGGACCCAGAGAGTTCTCATGAATGGATCCATGTCATCCTGGCGCGAAGTGACCAGTGCTGTCCCTCAGGGGTCCATGCTTGGACCAGTGCTTTTCAACATCTTTATCAATGATTTGGATGGGGGAGTGAAAAGCTTGTTGGCCAAGTTCGTGGATGACACCAAGTTATGAGGCAGTATGGCAATGCCAGAAGATAGGCTGCAGATACAAGCAGACCTGGACAGGCTGAAGAGTTGGGCAGACTGGAACCAGATTAAGTTTAACACTTCCAAGTGTAAGGTGCTCCACCTGGGGGCATATAACCCTCAACATGCATACAGGCTCAGTGGTGACAGCTTGACTTGCAGCACGGCTGAAAGGGACCTAGGGGTAATGATCAACCATCGCATGAATATGAGCTGTCCGTGTGATGCGGTGGCCAGCCTAGCAAACAACACGCTGGCACGCATCAACTGATGCATCTCATGTAAATCTAAGAAAGTGATACTCCCACTGTACTCGGCACTGCTGAGACCGCAGTTAGAGTATTGCATCCAGTTCTGGGTGCCACACTTCAAATAAGGATGTGGAAAAACTTGAGGGGGCCCAGAAAAGAGCCACCCACATGATCAGGGACTTGCAAGGCAAGCCATACGAGGAAAGGCTGAGGGACCTAGGCCTCTTTAGCCTAAAGATGAGAAGGTTGAGAGGGGACTTGATAGCGGCTTACTGCAATATCAGAGGAGGGCATCAGGAACTTGGTGAACAACTATTCACTAGGGCACCCCTGGGCAACACCAGGACCAATGGATACAAACTCCTGGAAGGCCACTTCAGGCTTAATACCAGGAAAAACTCCTTCACAGTCAGGGTGTCACTGTGGAATAAACTCCCTCCACAGGTGGTGCAGTCACCTACCCTGGTGGTTTTCAATCGGAGACCGGACAGTCACCTTGCTGGGGTCACTTGACCCCAGTTGTCTTCTTGCCTAGAGCATAAGGGCTGGACCTGGTGATCTGCGAGGTCCCTTCCAGCCCCTAACAATCTATGAATTGCAACCCTCAGTTTCCATGTGGGACTTTACCAGTATCTATATTTACCACATCTTCATTAACGTAGGGACTTGTTCTAGTATCAGAGCAGCATAGGGGAGAATTAAAACATGTTGTGGGAGGCCAAAATCTGAACAACTGGAAAGGTACAGCAGACATGTAAAGTTGGTGCTCGTGAAAGCAAGGAAATACAAGTTCTACCTCAAAGCAGGCAGAGGGAAGGCAGGGGCTGCGCTGCTTACTCCACATGCTTCTATAAGTAGAATGCAATGTATATCCTCCCCTCAATACTTTTATTGCTTATTTTAAGGCACATCTAGATGCAGGAGCTTACCCATTATAATATCCTCTAAATACCCAACCACAGCATCAAATTCTGCTTCTGAAGGGGAAGATCTGAAAACAAGAAAAAGGAAGATTAGTCTTAAATTGTTAATGGAAGCCTAAATATAAATTAGTGCAATTACCCTGATACCACATCAGCAAAATGAATCATTTCCCTGGTTTACATTATAAAAAAAGGCTCACTGCACACAAAAATTATTTGATATTAAAACTATTAATCCCTGTGGCAGGCCTTAATCTCATTACGTTTCCATCAGATACTAAGGATAGCTACTTGGTGAAAACAAAGCTTTATTCTGCAGGGCATTATTACTAGTGTAAATTCATTTCTTGGAGAGGCTCCAGAAATTACTGAAGACTCGCATTTGGACCAGCAGCCTACACCTTTTTCAAATTATGACTCCATGTGAAAAAATAAAGCTTCAATCCCCACTTCATATACTGCTAAACTGTAGTCCTGATCATCTCCTAAACACTCACTCACATATAAACTAAAAAAAAATAAAAAAAAAAAAAATGTACACAATAGGATTAACTAAAGTAAAGTACATACTGGAAAGAATTGTTTAACATTTTTCCAATATAACAATCACAAAGAGGGTGGTGGAAGAGTCAAAACTAAACTTTTAACTTTTGGGATGCAAAACTACAGATCCTACACGATCAGCCGATACAACAGTCCCTATCTATATGGATTGCTAAATCCTACTTAAAAATGAATTAGTAGCTTCCGTTATTTTGCAACAAGAAAACAAAAACTACATGCCCTTATTCAAACAGACTTGTTTATATGAGGAATCCCATTAGCAGCACCTCAGAAGACGGAGTCCCTCTGTCAATTTTATGTTTCTTGATGTTTTCTACAGACATCCAATAATTCAAAGCTTCCCTGACTGTAGCATTTGGCAGCAGTTTTTGGGTTATGGGTAAATTATCAAAAAAAAAAAAAAAAAAAAAAAAAGTTTCCTCAGTATGTTTTAGGGGCACAGACTTTTTTCCCCCTCACATCAAAGGTGAAAACCTGGAGGCACACTTGCGAACTATGTTCCTTAGCCAAAGCAACAGACTATCTTGTATGGAAATTGTTCTCCATCTCTCTCATGCAAAGAAGAATGTTACTTCAAACCATATTTTAAAAAAATAATCTACAAAGTTATTTTGCTGTTAATAACTTTTACAGCAAAATAAAGTTCAGCAATGCTTACATTTGTGATCTGTTAAGTCGGGCATCAAAAATACATCCCACAGAACCCTATCATCCTGCCTTCAGTGCTGCCTGACTGGCCCCAGGCAGCATGTGCTGGCCCTGCCCTGGCCTTGCATGCAGTGTAAAGCCCATTTCATGTGGGCTAAACATGACAGGGCCAGTCTGGGGTGAACTTTATGCAGCACCTGCATTGGACTGGCCCTGCACATTGGATCCAGGGCTGCTTTGGATCAGGCCCATAGACTGGCCACCAGTGCCAGATCCAGCACACAGCCGGTCCAGTGTAGGTGCTACACACACTGCAGACCAACCCTGTGTGTAGCACACAGCTTGGACTCATCCCACATGCCATGTGCAGGGGTAGGGCCAGCATGCATGGGGGCTGAAGCCAGACTGGTCCAAGGCATGTTGCCCTGTGGGCTGGCTACAGCATAAGGGTGAGTCTGTAGGCCCAATCTGGCCTGCAGACTGGCCCCAAGTACCACAGCGAGCCTGCAAAACCACATAAGTTTGACACTCCTCCATGTTAAATGCTGGTAGTGCACATACAGAAAACACGAATGAACAGAAGTCTGATACGCCACCTGAGGGCAGAAGAAAACTATTAAGACAAGTCTACAAACAACAGCTAAATCCCACTATATAGCCTAGCACATGGGTGGGCAATTATTTGGGCTGAGGGCCACTTAAGGAGTTCTGGTGAGCTGTTGTAGGCTGGGGGGGGGTGCGCTGAACTGGCCCAGTACAGCAGGGGAGCAAAGGAGGATGGGGGCAACTGATCCTATCATGCCCCTGGCCCATCCATCCCATACCTACCACCAAGGGTGCTGGACAGAGTGGGCGAGTGGGGTCTCCCTGGAGACTGGCTGGGGATCCCTGAGGGCAGGGTGTGCTCAGCCCCGCAGATGGGATGGGATTGCAGAGCAATGACAGCATGGGGCTGGGGCAGAGCCACAATCAGCTCCCCGCACCCCCCCGCACTGGGAGCCGGTTCCGTAGGCAAGAACATGCAGGGAGCGGATCGTGGCTCTGCCCCGGCTCCATGTTGTCACTACTCCATGGTCCTGGACCCAGTCCCACCCATCCTGCTCCTGGACATAGCTCCCCACCCACCTGCAGCCCCATCCTTTCTGTCTGGATGAGTGCACCCTGCCTGCGGGGGTCTTTAGCTGGTCTCCACAGGGACCTTGCCTGCCTGCTCTGTCCAGTGGTGGGTGTAGGGCAGATGGCTGGGGTGCTCAGGCAGTGAGGCTGGGTCTGGTGGCAGTAAGTGGGCTGAGTGAGCTGCCACTACAGGGGCTGCCAGGAAGCTGAACTTGGCTATTGTGCTGCCCCTACCCTGCTGCATGCCCGGGGTGGCGGAACCAGCCAATGCAGCACAGCCCAGGCTGCCCCCTGCACTGGGGCCAGGTGGGCCGAGGGACGCGCCGTGGGCTGGGCAGAGTCAGCTCGGACCTGCTCCTAACACCGCGGGTTTCTTGCCCTGGAGCCGTGAAGCTCCTTTAACCGAGGTCAAACCCCGCGGAGCCCCGGCCACTCACACGGACACCCACGTTTCCAGGGTTTCTTCCTCTGCCGCTTCCATTGCCGCCGCCGCCGC